AAAAAAAAAAAAAAAAAGAACTAAAAAAACAACAGAGCTAAAAATCACATAAGCAGCAGAAACTCATTCGTGAATATCTTATCAGACGAATGTGCTGAGATAATTTTCAAAACTTGTCAAATTATTTGCTTGATATATTTTGGAAGTTATTCTACCAAAATTTTAATCAAGAAAGTGCAACTGCCAATGGATATCACACAAAAGCCCGCAATCCGCGTACATGTGAATTAAGTATCGTATTCTGGATAAACGGGTCCAATTCGAGTCCCAGCTTGTTGATTCTCCCGTGAAGCTGTGTCCCGAATACAGCATGCCTGAGCTGGGTGTAGGCCTTGAAAACAGATGGGTAAGTGCCCTTTCGGGCAGCACGTCAGCAGCAGCGTTTCAACAAACAGGAAAATTGCCATCTGACGGTCCGAGCTCAGGCAGAAGCCCCTGATGATGGTGTTCCAAGCGAAAAAATTCTGTTCTTCTCCATGTGGGAGAAGAGCGAGTACGCGCAGCCCAAGTCGCGGCAGGCCACCGCGGATGAAGTGGCGCATAAGGCGAGGACCCGGCTAGCGGCTATGATGTCTCTGGCGAGGTTCGTTTTGATGAGATTCGCGTGTTGCGTCGCATAGTTAATCACATAAATATTTCGCATTTTATCAATTATCTTTGTTTGTTTTTCGCATGGTATATTGCCTAATTGTTTTGCACTTTATTATTTATCTTCGTTTGTTTGTAGTATGACTTTTCACATCAATTATCTTAGCCTGTCTTCCGCTTATTATATCGCATAATTGTTTCGCACTTTATCAATTATATTTGCTTGTATTGTGGCATAGTTTATGGCATGACTATTTTTTATTTTATCAATTATCTTCACTTGTTTTTCGCATAGTATATCGCCTTTCGCAGTTTATCAGTTATCTTCTCTGTCGCCTAATGAATGCATATTTGTTTTGCACTTTATCAATTACTTCAGCTTTAATTCGCATAGCCTATCGCATAACTACTAATATGAGTCCCGTGTAGTGCACGGGTAAGAGATATTCATTAATATTTGTAAATTAAAAGAATCAATATGTACTACAATTTACCTATATTAATTTATTAAAAATGTTATATAAAGTTTAAATTATGAAAAATTACATAAAATGTCTATTTAAAATTAGTACACAACCCGTGCAGTGCACATAAATGATAATAAATTTCATTATATCCGTTTCAAAATAAGTGTTATTTCAAAATTTTTATTCAGAAATTCGATATGATTATAATGTGATTCCATAATATAGTTATTTGGTAAAATTTTATCATATATATAACAACCTATGTGAATATCATAAGTATAAATATAAAATTTATATTGTTTCATTAATTGAAATAAATTTATTTTTTTATAAATTATTCAAATAAAAAAAATTAAGTAGTTGAGTAATTTATTAAACTATAAATAATTTACTATTTCGTTTACGTCCAAGTTAATATTGACTCGTAAGTTACGAATAATTATTTTTTTTATTTATAATTTTAAATAATTTTTTTTTTATTTTTTTTCAATATATTATATACCAAATTTAACCGTGCAACTAATAAGGTTATAGCAACAAGTTTTGTAAATATATTATATACTAAATTTAAATCATGCAACTAATAAAGGTAATGCGCAATATTTGACCAAGATGGTTTTGTACATTAATTAAATTTAATTTAGGCGGGATTTTTTAAAATTTGGCCAAATAAATTGCCCAATTTAATAAATCTGAATTTTTTAGGCGGGAAACCAAATGTTTTTTTTACTGATTTTAATCATTATTTCAGGTAATATCATGCCTCTTTATATATTAATAGATATCATTGCACTCCCTTTTAACATCTCAATTTACAATTGAGACTCCAATAATAATTACCTAATTACCACCCCATTTTTAAGATATAATGTTCATTAATTAATTCGATTACCGTAATCAAGAATTAATTAATATATTATTATTTCGCCGAAGCTAGCGCCCGTTCATCACATTATTACTATGCTAGATTTAATCCACCTGCAGGGTTTAGAACAATAATCCTTTATGAACACGCTCCGGGGACATCATTAAACTAAAAGTACATGTTGACCGTAAATATTCTAACAATACATCATATATACAACAATATTACCCAAGACAGTGGGAATATTAATCCAGTGAACTGAACCTCACCCATGTGAATCAAAATAATATATACTGCATATATATGTCTGTTTAATATCTTACGGGTTAAGAGAACACAGTAATTAACCTAGGACTAGTTCGTTTACGACGATCAACATAAAACGAATTTCTCCTCTCTGGGATCATGTTCAATACATAAATGTACTAGTGCAACTAATCAGTGAAGACAAACTTTCCGTTGACACTATACCCGTTCAGATGGGGTGTTCATTTTCATCTAGGTTGTAAACCACAATTCTTGTTTCGCAAGTAACTGATAGAATGATTTTCGGTTCGCCCGATGACGACCCATTCTATCTAAGTGCAAAACAATAGAACATCGAACTTGTTTAATCTAACATGATTCTTATTCATAAAGGGTAAAAGTGTAATATCATTTAACGTCAAGCTTTCAGTATATAACACTAACACAACACCCAACACCAGGAGCGCTGGGAAAAGTAGGAAGGAACAGAGCACCGCCCAACCCCAAGCTTCGAACACCTCCTAAACCATCGGCATCCCAGGACGACCAACCACAAAAGTTGCAAACCCCCGCCATCGGCACCAATCAACCACCCCAAGGGATCAAGAGAATAGAGGGAGAAGAGGGACTAACCTAGGCTCCGACCTTCGACAAGTGGAGATCGGAGCAAAACACCATACCATCAAAAGTCAGAGCCATCTCGACCACGAAGATCCCATCCGGAGATGAAGACGCGGCCCGATGAGACTCTACCTGGTAGAGAAGCCCACCACTCGACGGTATGCTGGACGCTCGGGCCAGCGGCGGCGGCCGCACAGCGTTGCGGAGCACCCCACCAGGGAGGAGGCTGACGACGAGAAAATTAGCTAGGTTTACTGTTTATAACTTGGGGGAGACAGATGAGAGAGAGAGAAGAACGATATATAAGCCATTATATTTATACAAATCAATACTGATGCCAGTGGACCACTTGTAAGATTCGTTGACACCCAAATGAACTCGGTGAACATTCACACTACGGTTGCGGATTTTGTTGATGATGGTGGAGGCTGGAGGTGGGACATTTTGCACGGAATCCTTCAATCCTCTGTAATTCTCCGCATTGTCGGTACTCTCCCTCCACGTGTGGATGCGGGGAAAGACCGCATTATATGGGGTCCCTCCACCGATGGACGGTTCTCTATTCGAACAACATATCAAGCTTTATCGACCGCTGCACAGAACCGCAACCAACCCCTATGGAGGATGATCTGGCGCGCCCCCGCGCCGCAACGGACCCAGACTTTGTTGTAGCTTGTCGCCAAGGAACGGGTTCTCACCAACTCTAAGTAAGGAGGCATATGTCCGCCTCGTCGGCTTGCGAGCTTTGTGGTGAAACAAAAACGATACTCCATGTTTTCTGAGAATGTCGGACTGCTAGAGAGACATGGAGCAAGCTGCTACCTGTTGCAGACGATGGGCACTTTTTCCAGCAGAATATTAAGGCATGGGTTCGCAGCAACCTGTTGAAAGTGCGGTGGGGATCGTGTACGGACTGGAGCAGCGTCTTTGTAATAGCCGTGTGGCGGCTGTGGAAGTGGCGTAACGAGCGGGTGTTTCAGCAAAAGACGATGAATGCTAAGGCAGGGAAGTCGAAGGTGCTGAGTTTAGCAGATAGCTATTCCCGGGCCACATAAGCTTATGTCAAAGTCGGGGCTGTCACGCATGTAACCCGAATGATCCGGTGGACTCCGCCCGATCCCGGATGGGTAAAATTTAATACTGACGGGGCCCATAACAGTACAACGGGTCTGAGCTCGGTGGGAGGACTCCTTCGTGAAGAGAATGGTCAATGGGTTGAGGGGTTTACTATGAATATAGGGGCGTGCACAATTACAGGGGCTGAGTTGTGGGGATTATATCAGGGGCTGCAGATGGCATGAGACTTAGGATCCGTCACGTCCTCGCCGAGGTGGATAGCCAATGTGCGAGGACTATGATCCTTGGGGATGCTGAACAGGCAGGGGCTCATACGGCGATTGTAAGGGTTATTCGTAGCATGTTGAAGTATAATTGGAGCGTGAGAACTCACCATGTGCATAGGGAAGCGAATTGTGCGGCGGACTACACGGCAAGTGTGGCGGCATCGTCTCCGCTAGGGGTGCATCTTGTGTTGGTCCCCCCTGATGGACTAGGAGCTTGGCTAGATCTGATCTCATGGGGGTAGCCTACCCCCGACGTGTTCTTGTTTAATCTCTTCGAGGCCTTGGCCTCCTTCATTGCACAAAAAAAAAAAAAATTCACACTCTCATTATATTATAATATTTAAAGGTTTTATTGGATCCATTGTACATATATAAATTTCAAGCAATCCTAAAATTTTGGTTATGTAACTCGTAGATTGTATGTATTTTCTTGTTAGGTCATCGACAATTTATTACTGTTCATTTAAACAAAACTCACAATCTCTTTCATCCACATCATATGTACATCATCATTTTTTCACAAAATATTCTTCCATTTAAACATCATCTCACCTTGGTTGACCATTTAAAAATAAATACAGGTGGAACTAATGATCCACTTATTCATTATTTATTAAAAGAAATGAGAAAATTCCAAGGGCTTAATTTTTAGATATTGCGTTATAATAGGGTCTGAATTTTTAACTTTTTCAATTGAAAGTTTCACTTCTAAGTTATTCTCAATATAAAACCTACTTTTGTATTGTACTTTTCAATTTAAGACTCAAAATTGCTTTGTATTTTGATATAATTATGTAAACCACAATACTCTTTTTTTTGAAAAAGAAAATATTTTTTTTTTTTTCAGAATATATAATAAAAAATATTAAATATATTAATAAACTTACCTAATAAGATATTTATTTCATAATCTATATTTCTGCAAAAGCTTAATGAAATTTATTTTAAAGTTAAAAATAAATCTTAACTTAATTTTAATATAAATATGTGATAATACTAAAAAATAAACTATTTAGAAAAACATTTTTTAAATAAAATTATAAAAAATTTTATTTGTGAATAAAATTTATATTTTTAAAAAGTTAAGAATATATAAAATTAGTACATATAATAAAAGTATTAACTATATGTGTAAAACTAGCTTCGTAAGAAAATTAATTCAAACCAATTAAATTTATTCAAAATTAATTTAGCTTGAATGAGGTAATGTTCTTACTAAAGTAATTTTACTAAATATATTTATAATATTTAAAATATATATTTCAAAATAATATTTTGAATTTTATATTTATGTAAAAATATAAGGTTAGTTGGTGTTGATGTAATTAGTATTTAGTATTGTGTATTCTCTATTGTACCCTTATTATCTTAGTATCTTAGGGATCAAGTTATTGTTTAAAACCTAATTGTAGATTTATATATATGAAAGAGGGAGAGCCGCAAGACATCAGATTTGATGTCTCCATTCGTTCTTTTGCTCCTTTTCATTCTTGTCATGGTATCAAAGAGCCAGTTATAATTTTCTTTTTTTTTTCTTGATCACAGATATTTTATCTGATTGATTTTTTTGATCGCCTTCATCCCAACTTCTATTATCCCACTATCCGTCCAACTATAAGCAATCTGCTGTCATTCCTTTGCTTGATCTTGCAACTTCTGTTATCGTTTTTCTTTATTTAAAAANNNAAAAAAAAAAAAAAGGGAAATATTTACAATTCATTGGCAGCGTACAGTAACCTTTCTTCATTGGCAGCGTACAGTATTCTTCTTCTCTACTGACATCGCCATGTCCGGTGAAGGCTCAGGTTCCGGCTCCGGCTCCGGGTCTGCTACTGTTCCCAGAAAAACAATCTCTCCATATGACATCACTTCGAGCGACAATCCGGGCCTTTTGATCACTCAAGTTCAGTTAAAGGGAGATATCAATTACGAAGAATGGTCCCGTAGCATCCGCACCGCTCTTCGTGCGCGCAAGAAGTTTGGTCTTAAATTAGAAACTGTAATGTAATAGTAATCTTTTAATTGAGATGACTTAATTGAAATCCTCAAATGAAAAAGTTAAAATTTCAAACCCTATTGTAACACAATAATAAAAAGTCAAGCCTTACAACAGAATATTAAGAAATAGAACAAACTAGTACAATTCGCGTGGACTACATGGGTACTTGATAAGAGAATTATTTCTAAAATTAAATAATAATAACAAGAACAATTATTCAAATTAAATATATGCATTTATTAGGCTAATTTGAGATTTTCATGGAAATTAATTAGTCGACTGTGAGCTTTCAAAAAAAAAATAAAAAAAAAAATATATTAATTAATCAATAACATTATCAAAGGTTCATGTACAACTTAAGAGTTATATTAGTCAAACTATTATGGAATTACGAAACTATTTTTCAATGTTTTTGGAATGTCCGAACATAAAATTTTTAATTTAGAATAATATTATTTTTTATCCAAACCAAACTACGAAACATGTTTTTTTCGCCAAGTAAGATTTCGAAGCATGCGAAGCTGCCACATACACTCATCACATTCTGCAATTATATACACAAGGAGGTTTTGTTTATAATGTTATTTCACTCCATCAAATAATCGTTCAATCAATACTTCAAATGTAAGTACCGGTGCAACCATTAAACAAATGGTTGCATTAATATTAATTACCATTTAAATGTTAGGAAAATGTTAGGGTCCCCTTCCTCAACTATTCCGTCGGGATCTTTAATCGTTAGATCATCATGTAACCGTAAAAAATAGTTGATATGACAATTACAAACTTCGACAGAATAATTCCGTAACGGACCGTAGCAATTTGTTCAACTTCAATCCTTTAAATGCCAATACCGGTCCAACCATTAAACGGATGATAGTATTGATATTAATTATTAATTACTCCCATTTAAATGCTAATCTAACGGATGCATTATTAAATGAAAAGTAACGTTTGTACAATCACGATTCACGCGTCACACCAAACAGACGACGATTGTTTTGACTTTTTGTCCTTTTTTTTTTTTTTTTATTTTTTTAATCACCTTATATATATATATATATAACTCACTCACCACACTTCAATCCCTCACTACCACATCAAAAAATCCCGATTACAGTGGCGTTAGAAAGAGAGAGATCATCAAAGAAAATAAAAGGTCTCCATTAATGGCTACTCTTCAAGTCCCTGCATCTGTTCCTTCCCCTGAAGAGGATGCTGAGCAGCTTAAAAAAGCTTTCACTGGTAATTTTTCTGCGAAGAAATTTTCACTCTCTGCTTCTTCTTACGTCTGTTTATTGGTTAGATCTGTGGATCAATTCAGGATTTTGTCCAGTGATGGGTCATACTTATCACATTAATCTTTAGGGACTGTTCTGTTCTTGATCATCGGATGCTCTGATCTTGTTGCGTTAAGCATAAATCATTTCTGAGATTTTTTTTTGTGTGTGTGTGTGTGTGTGTGTGTGTGTATTTCATTAAGTGATTTCCCCCTGAATTTGGTTATATATTAATGGGCTTTTACTGCAAGATGGAAGAACAATGTCTCTTGCACTAGCTTATCTGTTTCGCTCCTAAAAGTTGAGAATGGTGTTTTCTGACTCTCGGCATGCTTATGCTCTCTGAAGTACACTAAAGTTTCAATTTTTTCAAGTGGGATATTTTATTTTATGCACGATGCAATTTACGATTCCGATTATTTGGAGACGATGGATGATCTTGGACACGGGATGAAGAAAGGAAATTGAAAGAAAATCTTATGCGAAATCTAGTAAGTTGGGATGAGTTTTGTGTGCTCGACATAATGTCTCTATTGGAAATTTGTTCTGTTCAGGATTGGGCACAGATGAGGGAGCTATAATCACCATATTGGCACATAGGAATGGAGCCCAACGGAATTTGATTCGCGAAGCATATGTTGCAGCTTATGGAGAAGATCTTCTCAAGGACTTGGAGAAAGAAATATCGGGCGATTTTCTGGTTAGTAGACTATTATTATTGTTCTCGCTCGTTTGTTGGTAATAACGGTTAGCTTGAAAATATTTGATATTTTTGCTTGTGGGTTTTAACTGATCATCTTTTTCATTTCAATGACTAGTTTCATGGTAAGAATACAATGTGTATGACTGATCTACTTTGGTTTGTTTATAACTAAAATGTCTGCCTATTCTTTTCTATAATGCACTAGCGTGCGGTCAGCCTTTGGACATTGGATCAAGCCGAGCGAGATGCAAAGCTGGCAAATGAGGCTACAAAGATGTTCACTTCGAGCAATATTGTTATCATGGAAATTGCTTGCACTAGATCATCATATGACCTGTTTAAGGTAAGGCAGGTGTATCATGCCCGTTACATGAAATCGCTCGAGGAAGATGTTGCACATCACACATCTGGCGACTTTCGCAAGGTATGTCTATTTATACATATTGCCAGGTTGTTACAAGTGTTATGCTCTACTTTTGCAGTTGTCCTTTTAAAATGAAAGAAGTAGTGATATTTGTATGTTTCCCAATGTTAAACAGCTGTTGGTTCCTCTTGTGACTGCCTTCCGGTATGAAGGAGAAGAGGTGAACATGATGCTGGCACATTCAGAGGCTAAATTGCTTCACGAGAAGATATGCGACAAAGCCTATGCCGACGAAGAGCTTATCCGAGTCCTAACTACGAGGAGCAAAGCACAGCTCAATGCCACACTCAACCATTACAATGATCTTGTTGGAAATGCCATAACTAAGGTATAGTCTCATGACATTGACTAAGTAATTTGCAGTTCCACTCAAATTATCGTAGTAATTAAGAAATCATCATACGAATCTCGTATTTAAGTGTGTAAATATCATGAGGTTTTAAATTGCATTTTCAAAGAGATCTCTATTTGACTCAATTACACTTGTTTAACTCCAGTTTCAACAATAGTTTATATTTTTTTGGCATTCATTAGGAAGCTCCAACAGAGATGAAACAGCAAAAATATGCAATTCCAACACAAATTAGAACGTTTTGTAATCCTTTGCGAAATATTTCACAAGTCTATCTAAGCAAAAACAGATGGAACCTTTGTAACTCATTTTTATGGCATGTTTTTTCTCTCTCACTCTGCTTGATACGGGTCTCTAGGATTTAAAAGCTGACCTGGACAACAAGTATCTCACCTTCTTGAGGGCAACTATAAAATGCCTGACATGCCCCGAGAGATACTACGAGAAAACACTACGACTAGCCATAAAGGGTCTCGGCACGGACGAAAATGCCCTCACCCGTGTGATCGTGACCCAAGCCGAAGTCAACTTGCAGCGTATTAAAGAAGAATACCACAGGCGCAACAGTGTGCCCCTTGAGCACGCGATTTCGGGGGACACTTCTGGAGATTATGAGAAGTTCCTGCTTGCCTTAATCGGATAATACAACAAGGATGTTTATCGTGTTATAATAAAGTATGTTTGTGAGATTCACTGAGTGAAGAGGTTTGTTGTGTGTGTTCTATGTTTTTTGTTGCGTCTTGTAAGGTCGCATGAATAAATCGGTCTCGTTCTAGTTCCTTTTGGTGTGTTTATTGATGGATGGTGTTGTTCCTTTTGTGAGGGACTTTGGCTGAAACTTTTATTGCAATAAGGACTTGGTTGCAAGATTCTGTAAGAGCTACATGAAAAAGTGGTTTGAATATGTAGCTTCAAAATAATATGAGAGCTTAAAACAATCTGAAATTTTGGTCTAACAATCTACAATATTTAATGGGAAGAAGTTGCAATGTTGCTCTATATTGCAATTTACTTCAGAGTAATGTTCAAAACTTGCTCCGGTGTTGGGTTAAATTTTCTCACTACTCTAAAAATGTGAACAATATGGTGCTGCTATTCACCACGCCACAATTTTTTTTTTTTCTTTTTTTTTTTCTACAAATTTTAAGTTTATAATTGATTTTTATTTTTAATTATTAATTTTAACAAAATCCACATCAACAAAATTATTTATTTTATTAAATAATTTTAAATTTTGATTTCATAGTTATACTTAAATTTTATTTTGTAATAATAAATTTCATGTAGAGTAAAATGTAGTTTCGGGGAAATTTAATTTTTTTTTTTTTTT